ATGTTGCCAGACTCCATGTTGACTGTTACTTTGGTCTCTGTCATTAAGGACAAAGCGGGCAAGGTAGGGAGCTTGGATAACTATAGACCAATTGCTCTAGCCAGTGTGTTATCCAAAGTCTTGGAAAGAATTTTGTTAGATAGACTATGTTCCTATTTATGTACCTCAGATAACCAGTTTGGCTTCAAGGCTAAGCATGGTACTGAGCTATGCATCTATGCTTTGAAGGAAATGGTAGAAACATATAGAAGACAGAATTCCACTGTTCTGATTGGTTTCATTGATGCCTCTAAGGCTTTTGATCGAGTTAACCACCATAAACTGTTTTTAAAATTGAGACAAAGGGGTGTGCCTAACAGTATAATTAGGATCCTGGCTTATTGGTATGCCAACCCGAGCATGCGGATCAAATGGGGGAATGCAGTCTCTGCGCCATTTGGTGTTGGTAATGGAGTCCGCCAGGGGGGGCTCCTCTCACCATGCCTTTTTAATATCTATATGAATGATCTATCAGATGATTTAAGTGTCTGTAAAACAGGGTGTGTGATTGGTAATGTGATTGTAAACCATCTTATGTATGCCGATGATCTGGCTATTGTTTCTCCTAGCAGTGCTGGTTTTCAACAGTTGCTAAATGTTTGTTCTGATTACGGAGTCAAATTTGACGTTAAATACAATGCTAAGAAGAGCGCTGTAATGATCTGCAGAGCACAAGGGGATAAGAACCTTTGTTTTCCAACATTCTACCTGTCAGGACAGGTGCTGTCTGTTTGCTGTAACACTAAGTATCTGGGACACATCATCACAGATGAAATGGCTGATGATTACATGTATAGACAGCGGCGTGTCTTATATATACAAGCCAACATGTTGGCTAGAACATTCTCTTGGTGTTCAGATAAGGTTAAGGTGAACCTCTTTAGAGCGTATTGCACTCCTCTCTATACTGCCCCCTTGTGGGTCAAGTATAAGAAGGCAAGCCTCAAGAAGCTCCAGGTTGCATATAATGACTGTTTGCGTATACTGCTTAGAAAACCAAGGTGGTGCAGTGCAAGTGAAATGTTCTGTAACGCACGAGTCAACACGTTCCATGCTCTTTTGAGAAATCGAATGTACAAATTCATCTGTCGATTGAATGTTTCTCATAACTCTGTCATTATGCTGCTTTCAAATCCGTGTTTCAGTGCTGTACGATACCAGTCACCTCTGTGGAAACATTGGTATAACTGCCTTTTTTAATTTATATTTGAGTGTTGTATGTTTTTGTAATAATGGACCAAGAGTCTCTTTAAATAAAAGATGATGATGATAACGAGTAAAGTAACGAGTTACTTTATGTAGATAGTAACGAAGTAGTTTAATATATCATTTTTTTTTTTTAAAGTAATATGTAATATATTAAAAAAAAATAGTAACGACCCCATCTCTGGAGTTGGCGTTCTCTACTCTGATTTACATGAAGAACAACAGGAGGTCACGGCTCTCTGTTGAACAGGACTTGCGAGTGGCCCTCTCCTCAGTGCCACCAAGGATTACAAAATTCTGTGCGCCTCGACAGGCACATGTATCTCACTAATTTGTAAGTCGGCAAACATATTTACAATAGCACATGTTTCAATGCTGATTGCTGAAATGTTACATTTATAATTTGTAGTTCAGGACCATGGACAATGCAGCTTGCTTGCATCGACAGTTCTCTGTGCTGAATTTCTGCTGAGTTTCCTTTGCCTCATTTTTAATGTTGTGACCTGTCTGGTTTAAATGAGTGTGTTGCTGCTTTGATGAAGCCTAATTTGATAAAGTTTCAAATTAATTTCTGAAATATTTCGTTAATAAATATATCATGATTAATTGTCTTTGTCACATTTTATTTGGCATTAGTAAATAATTATGCACATTTACAGATATTTTACATGATATGTATGGAGGACGGAACATGACTTAAGTATAAATAAATAATTGTATGAAGAAATACAGGAATAAATAAATAAATACGTAAATAAATAAATAAATACAGGAATAAATAAATACAGGAATAAATAAATGACGAAATAAATACAGAAATAAATAAATGTTGAAATGAATACACAAATAAATAAATAAAAGAATAAATGCATAAATAAATATGGAAATAAATACATCAATGTATAAATAAATAAATAAAAGTCGAAAATAAAACAGAACACACGTTATTATATATCTTTCATTTATTTCTACATTTACGCGACATACATTTATTTATTTATGTATTTATGTGTCCGTATGCTAATGAGGTGGGCGGTCCTAACCTCAGTCTGAAGCAGGATTGGTTACAGGAGTGTGTGATCATTTCTGGCAGAGGGCTCTACTACTAACGCCTGGATAACCGCGCTGATTCGAATGCAGGAGCTTTACTGTTTAGCCCTTATCTTTATACATCCATGGTTTATCCACAGTTGTAAGGTTTATTTATGGATATTGATTTAAGAGCCATTGGAGATCATTTACGATCATTAGCGGACCATTTAGAGAACGGAGAACCAAAAGACTATGTCCAGTTTCGTGTGGAACGATGTATAGAGGACTTGGCTCAGCTCGACATGATGTGACTTGCCACAAATCTATTGCTTCTGCCTGGCTCCAACAATTGGCGAATCCTGCTTCAGACTGAGGTTAGGACCGCCCACCTCATTAGCATACGGACACATAAATACATAAATAAATAAATGTATGTCGCGTAAATGTAGAAATAAATGAAAGATATATAATAACGTGTGTTCTGTTTTATTTTCGACTTTTATTTATTTATTTGTACATTGATGTATTTATTTCCATATTTATTTATGCATTTATTTATGCATTTATTCTTTTATTTATTTATTTGTGTATTCATTTCAACATTTATTTATTTCTGTATTTATTTCGTCATTTATTTATTCCTGTATTTATTTATTTATTTACGTATTTATTTATTTATTCCTGTATTTCTTCATACATTTATTTATTTATACTTAAGTCATGTTCCGTCCTCCATAGATATGAGTGATAACACGTGTTATAAGGGCTATTTTGCACAATAGGTGTGCCTTGAGATTTTTACTTGTCCTTTGGTAAGTAAAGTTTGGGAACCACTGCTCTACAGTGTCCTAACCAAAGGTTGATGCGCTGGGCCCTGATGCTCCAGTCCTATAATTTGGACATTCACCATATCAAGGGGAGGGACAATGTGGTGGCGGATGCATTGTCTCGGGCCCCCGGTGAGTAATGCCCTGTTAGTGTTAGTGTGGGTTTCCTTCCAGTGTCCTGTTGTTTTCTCTCTTTTAGTTGAAAAACTGATTGGTAGTTTTTTTTTCTCTCTCTAATTGTTGTGGGCACTATGTTCTTGGTAAAGTTAGACCCTCCAGAAAAACGCGGGCTAAAATCCTTGATTATGCGATTAAACATGCGGGGTTTGTATGTGATTTTATGCGGTAAAATTGCGGGAAGTTGCGAAATATGCTAAATATTTTTTCGGAAATATTGGGCTGTCTTATTTATTCTCTCTCTCACACAAGCTGCCACTAACGTTACACCCCTTTACTATTCAATTAAAACACATTCAATGTTTATTTATTGTAAAAGCAATTGGGCTATTTTAATCACACTCTCTCTCACACACACACACGCTTCTCCGCCTCATTCTGTTTTCATTTACTTGTTCGTTATCTGACCAGCTTCCATCTTGTAGGCTTCTCACCTCGTTTCTTGCAGCCCTCGAAAGGGTTTTGGAGGTTGATGCCTCGGTGAACGTGAGTTGTTTGGCTTTCTTGTCCGCAGCAGCAGAAAGCATTTTCGAATCTTTGAATGAATCAAAGTGGGTCGTCACCGTCGATGTTCTCTTATGCTCCAACACACAGTTGCACGCGGTGCAGAATAGTTTCCCCCCACTTTCGTGCAAGACATCGGGGTACTGCTTTGCCCGGTCTTTAGCAGAAATGTTCGTCGGTAAATTAGATGGATTAGATTTTTTCATCTTGGTGTTTTCTCTCTCCTGTGAGCTCCACACGTTCACTCTACGGTGTTGTTTACCTTCTGTGATGCGCGAGCTGATGACTTCGCGTCATGATCATCATCACTACTTCACGTCAAGACGAGTTAACTTTTTTTCCCTCAACTTTGTGTGGAAAAATCATAGGGAAAAATTGCGGGGATTATGCGCCCTTTTAATAAATATGCGCCCTTTTAAAAAATGTTTTGCTGATTATGCGGTAAATTATGCGATCGCATAATCACGTTTTTCTGGAGGGTCTATAAAGTGATTAATTTAGGTACCAGGGTTCCTTTGGCGACTCTGACTTTAGGTGCGATGGGGGTGGAGCTGAAGAGGCCAATCAGCATGACCGGGGACACCTGGCCGGAGCCAGGTGCTACTTAAGCCCAGCTGCCCGGAGTCACATGGCCTTCATGACTCTCTCCAAGCCCGCTGCAGGAAGTCTCTCACCGGGATCCTTTCCCCTCGCCCATCCTCTCATATTTCCGGTGTTGTGTCGCAATACAAGTGCCGTGGCTTTTGGAACCCTCTAACCTCTCCCTTTTTTCCTGTTGTGGCCTACGGGCCGGTCATAACAACTGGGGAGTAGTCCGGGATAATTAAAAAAACAATTAAACCGATTAATTGAATTGTATATTCTTTGTTTCTGTTACGAATGTGTGTTTGGATTTTGTATGCCTTTAAGAGAAAAGGAACAGGATGGCTTTTCAATTGACGTACAAGTTGAGACTAAGACGATCACTAGATGTACAGAAAGGTCTGTGCTATTTGCCATGTGTCTTCAATAAAGATATTTAGCAGTTTCTGTCCCCTGGTTCTGTTTGCTCCTGTCCTACAGTCAGGGGAATTATTCCAATGAAGTGGAATCCCGTCCCAGATGTTCCTCAGTGAACATCAAGTAATGCTGACTGTGCATTCTGTCGGCCAGCTCTGTGTTATGTCCATCATTCCTGCAAGTATTCTGACTCCAGTGTGTAAGGGATCAAACACATTCTTTAGAAAAATACTTTTATTTGCCATTAACAAATATGATCAAACCTCCATATAGCAAAACAACAAGATTTAGGAACAACACTGCTTATAAATGTATATTGTTGGCATTCATACATTTTGTCAGTAAAAGTAAAATAACATCAAGCAGAAATCATTTCCTGTGTCGAGGAGCAGGCCATCCAGTGGCTCGGTTAGTTATATTACTGACACATTTTAAAAGCTATAAATCATAGTTTGTTTTGATATATAAAGCTTAATAGAGAAATTATTTCATTTTCCAACTGGCCTGATGCACTAGGAGACTAAAAGTACCAGAAAGTGCATGTGCTGCTTCACTTTCGCTCTTTCAGCTTCTTTGGCTGCAAGATTAGCATGACGGCTAAGTGGAAACAATTAATAACACATTATCTATAACATGACGAATAAATGTAACTACTGACTCTCACCTGATGAGTCACCACAGATTGAAACCCAATTCATTGGGAGAACGCGCCATTTATTGCTTATTAAGACCTTTAAATTCACATGGATGAGATTGATCTAACTAGAATTGCATTTCAGTATCCAGCAGCAGGAGAGGTGCATGATCCACTGAGTGTTCAATACAAATGTCAATATGTATTTTCAACATGTGCATAGACAATTTCCTATGTAATGATCAGGCACAATAACTCTGCCTGAAGGTGCTCTTCTATGCTTATTGAGGCTATTTATCTAAATCAGGGGCGTGGCTCTGGGGCCAACTGTGGCCCGTGGTCTGTTTTTAATTGGCCCGCAGCAAATCCTAAAAGTATAATGCAATATGCACATGAAACTTGTGCTCGTGCTATATTGTACTTCTTAAATATATATGTTCAAATACACAGTATTCATGTGTTAATGAGCCCAATGTTCTAATAAATTCAGTCAATAAAGCAGAGAACATTTTCTAACAAATCTTAGTCTTAGTAAAAGCCCAATAACTTATTCTCGTAACGCACTTGAAATATACTTTTTGTAACAAAGTAAATGAAACCCTATGGAGAGCTGTGATGTAGACTGTTTTTTTCTTAAAGCTTTCTATCAAGAATAATGTCCCTACATTTGATTGATTTTGCTATCTTATAACTGACCTTATGAGGCAATATACCTCACCTCTAGTGAGGGGTCCAGCCCTTCATATATTTTTCTGTATGTGGCCCTCAGTGAAACATTTTAGGACACCCCTGATCTAAATCGATAAATAACATAGTTTGGGCCACTAGAAGGCAGCGCAACAAGCGGCAGCTTTAATACTGATATTCACTCATTTAGATCTCACTTCTTAATCATAGCAACATTCCTAATTTTGCTCATATCCTCTTACATATACCAGTATTAACAATAAACTTAATATAAAAAATGTAATATTGATATGGTAATACTACACATATAATGATATATTGTAAAAAATAATGCATCCCTTTAGTATAGTTTATGTTTCTTTCTTTCCGCATGCTTTTGTAACGCAATAGTAACAGACTCCTCCTTCGTACATTTGCAAATACGACAATAAAAAAAAAAAGAGTACAAGATGAATTTGACAGATAGAAGGGACACAGGGGGGGGGGGGGGGGGGGGGGTCACTAGGAGACGCAGCTGTCCCCCTGACCCTGGGCGTAGCGCTCCGAGATGCTCCTCCTCAGGTCGTCGATGTCCCCCCGCAGCCGAGCCACCTCCAGCAGCTTCACCCTCAGCTCCTCCTCCACCCTGCTGTCGCTCTCCTCCGCAGAGACACTCAGCGCTGAACAGACACAGACGGACGGGGTCATCACTATTGGTCAGCGGTGGAAAGTAACTAAGGACACTTTAGTCTAGTTTCCAGAACTGTGAACCCGGAAATGTTGAATACCCCAAAGTGTTATGTTAGAAATGTATAGTATGGATCCCCAGTAATGACAAACTGCTGAATGCACAATTAGCATAAGTTGAATGAATTAGCATTATAGCCGATGTAGACAATACTTTCAAAATGGCTTGGCCAATTTTGGAGTGGTTTGGGGGTTATTGAGGATGCTGAATCAATTGCTGAATTTTCAGGATCAAAAATCACAGTTTTGTGAGTGTGTGCATGCGTACACTTCATGCCCAGCAGCAGGGACAGGTTGGGCTCCTTCCCCTGTGCTCTCTGGGCCAGGATGCTGCAGAGGGCCTGCAGGTCCAGCAGACACAGGGACATCTCCTTCAGCAGCCAGCCCACCTCAGGCAGCTCCACCTCAGGCAGCTCCACCAGAAGCCCACTATCCCCCACCTGATGGGGAAGTTACCAAAAGAAAAGCAGTGGTGGAAAAAGTACTCAGATCCCCTATTTCAGAAAAAGTACTAATATCACATCCTGAAGATACTCCATTACAAGTAAAGTAAATACCTTAAATACCTGTGGGGGGGCTCTGGATGGGGGGGGCCGGGCTTTCCTCCTGTTCATGAGGAAGGCTTCTTTTCTTCTGAGTGGCCTGACAAAGCAGCACACAGGTAACACTGAGTTAATCATTTAGACCAGGGGTTTTCAAAGTGTGGGAAGGTGAGCCTCCCCTCAGAGAACATAAGAACAGCCGCGCCGCGCCGCGCCCCCCCCTCCCAATTATTATTGCTATTATTATTATTATTATTATTGTTGCTATAATGCAGGGGTATTATTATCCAGTGGAATGCCCTTACCTACTGGCCTAGTTAAATCAAAGTGGTTACTTTTTTTTGGCTGGGAAGTGTAGTTTTACACACCGTCTTATTCGACTTTCTCAGGACTTAAAACTGTTTTTTGGGGGCAGACCCCCTCAAAGAAAAAAAAATATTTACACACGTAAGGTCATCATCTTAATAGTTTGTTATGCTCATCGAGTCATCCGAGAGCAGAGCATCAAGTTGGCATGCCTATTACAGCTGAATGTGGCGATTACCATCTTGTTCAACAAAACGCCTCAAAAACGTATTAAGATCTAAAGCTTTAGTGCGTTTTGATTCAATGCTGAGTACAGCCACACTTGACAGTCTCTTCTCTGTCATTGTAGACCGCAAATACCTCATTCCTTCCGTCTACTTGGGTCCGAATGCTTCTCGTTTTGCGCCGTCCCGTTAAATTGAAATCGCCGCCAGTGGCGGTTCTAGACCAATTTGACTGGGGGGGCCACTGGGGGGCCAGTTATTTTCTGAGTGGGGCACAATAAATGCAGGACGAAAAAGAGAACTAGACAGTATGAAGTAATTGCGCATAAGAAAACAATGCAATACAGTTATTGGTATTTGTTTCAGTACACTTATTTATTTCAGATAGATCTTATAGTTATTACTGTTAGCTTCAGCTTAAGTTATAGTGCAATGTTTGCACTAACACCATATTTATATAAAGATAAAGGCAATGAACAGTTACATCTCTACTTTACATAAGGGTGTCTGCACAATCTCACATTACAGCAACAAAATCCTGCGGTTTTTGGCAAACCGAGTACCAGAAAATATACATAAAAAAAAAAAAACTTTTCATTGTTAGGGGGGGCCACAGGTCAGTGTTAGGGGGCACTGCACCCCCCCTGGCCCCCCCTAGAACCGCCCCTGAGATTCGCCGCCAATCACATTTCCTCGCTCGAGCCAGGGAGGGGTTACAAGGCTCGCGTCTTATGCTGCATTCACTTGCACTCGGACATTAGGGGTTTTCTCTCATAAATGCCCGATGAGCCACAACTTTTATTTCAAAACAAAGCTGCCAACTGGGGTGGCAGTTGCCAAATCTGTATCAGTCTGTATCAGATCCGTTGCAGCCCCTTTTTTAGAGATTTGGGTATAGAGGAAAAGAGAGAGGGTTGTGTTTTCTGACACTTGGTGAGTTCCCTGACACACCTGGGACACATATTCATGTATAAAAGACGTACAAAAGTGCATTTTGCATGATAGATCCGCTTTAAAACATAGTTGGAAACATGCTAAATAGACTGTTTTTATGCGACCCCCCTTATGTAAAGCACTTTACATAAGTCAGCATTTAGCCATACACACACTCATAGAGAGGAAGAGGCCGCCATACAGGATGCAAATAAACTAACATTCACACACACATTTGGTATCATGCACACTGGGTGTGTGGATTTGTGTTAGCCTACCGTTAGCTGAGAGGTCAGTCTCTCAATCCGTTCCTTCTGTTGCTCGATCAGCTGGTGGGGAGCAGAGACCACAAGGTCAGTATTTTGACTTTAGTTGTGTTCATGTGAATGGATGGATGTGTGTGTTACAGAGTAGTCCAAAAGAAATGTGACTAGTCTACCCCAACACTGCTGGTGTGTGTGTGTGTGTGTGTGTGTGTGTGTGTGTGTGTGTGTGTGTGTGTGTGTGTGTGTGTGTGTGTGTGTGTGACCCTACCCTGCTGCTGTGGTCCTTCTGCTCCAGCAGGTCAGTGTTCTCCACCTCCAGCCGCTTCAGGTCCTGCATGGGCAGCCTCACCCCGTCAGCCAGGCAGAGCTGAACCTTCTGCTGCAGGCTGAGAGAGAGAGAGAGAGAGAGAGAGAGAGAGAGAGAGAGAGAGAGAGAGAGAGAGAGAGAGAGAGAGAGAGAGAGAGAGAGAGAGAGAAATGTTATCATCCCAATCCATTTAATGAGGGTATTTATTACAGGTGTAATTAAGATAAAATAAGATTAGATGGACCTTTATTAATCCCTGTGGGGAAATTCAGTTGTTCAAACAGCAACAGGGTAAGGGTGAAAAAACAGGATAGCACAGATTCACACAGATTAATAAAATCGAAGATACAAAATACAAATAATAATAATAATAATAATAATAATAATAATGACAAACCATGAAATAAGAAATGAATACAACATTTTTTAATTAGCATATATACATATTGGGTCTTATAAACTATGAATGAAAATGGACATATATACAAAATGGGTCATATACACATATTATATATATTAACATGGGTGGGTGGAAACAGTGTGAATTTATGTCTAGTGATTGTTCACATTGTTGACCCCTTGTTGTGCAGCCTGATGGCTACAGGCACAAAGGACTGTCCGAGGCGCTTGGTGCGTTGTCGTGGAGGGATGAGTCTGTGGCTGAACGTACTCCTCATCTTCACTAGCTCTGCGTGGAGTGGGTGGGAGGGGTTCTCTAGGATGCTGTCGAGCTTCCTCCTCGTCCTCCCCTCTGCCACCTCCTCCAGATTGTCCAGTTGTACTCCAACTACAGAGCTAGCCTTCCTCACGAGCTTGTTCAGCCTGCCAGTGTCCCTAGTGTTTGTGTTTCCACCCCAGCACACCACGGCAAAGAAGAGCACACTGGCCACCACAGACTGGTAGAACAGCAGCAGCAGCCTCGTGCACACATTGAATGACCTGAGCCTCCTCAGGAAGAACAGCTTACTCTGTCCCTTCCTGAAGAGAGCATCGGTGTTGTCTGACCAGTCCAGTTTATTGTTCAGGTGCACTCCCAGGAACTTGTAGCTGTTCACCACCTCCACATCCTTCCCCCTGATGGTGATGGGGGTCAGAGGCCTCTCCCTGCTCCGCCTGAAGTGAGCTGTGCGGCTTCTCCAGCTGTGTGTAGGCTCTGTGGAGCATGTAGACACCAGGGGTGTCAAAGCGACTTACATACATTCAGTACTGTGGACAATCCCCCCAGGAGCAATTTGGGGTGAAGTGTCTCAGGGACACAACGACATGCTGACTGCAGTGGGGTTTGAACCTGTGCTCCTCTGATCCGAACAGCAACGCACTACCCACTGCACCACAGCCTCCCTTAATTAATTTGGATTCCCGCTGTATGAAGAAATTAAAGGACGGCGCAAGTGGAAACAATTCACAAAGGGATTAAACTGTTTAAAACACATGCTTAAAGTAAGCCGGATTTTGCCGATGTGTTTATGTGGATTCAAAAGTTGTAAATAATCTACAAAATGGAGGAGACCGATCTGATCGGAGCAACTGTGACAAATAATCCAACTGAAACCGGCATGGACAATGACTATGTTTTAAAAATGTGCTTATCCAGACAAGCCTGGTTTGGACACTTCACGGGCAGAAGAAACATTTCTATGAAAGAAAGAATTGGGAACTACTGCTCTACACCAATGTTTTCCTGCTAGGCAAACTGTAGAGGGTCCATGGAGTCACACACGAGGGGTTTGAGGTGCTGCAGGATCAGTCTCTCAAAGATCTTCATGACGTGTAAAGTCAGAGCTACAGGCCTGTAGTCTCCTGGAGTGCTGGGGCGTGTCTTTTTGGGCACCGGGACAATGCATGGTGCCAGGGTTTTGGAACCCCTACTGTCCTGTTGAGCTGGAGATGGGAAGATCAAACCTGTTGAAGAACAGGTTTAGCTCATTCGCACCTTCAGGGGTCCCTTGCACAGCCGTGCTTGATTGTTTGTACCCTGTGATCTTCCTCACCCCTTCCCACACCTCTCGAGAGTTATTGACCTCCAGACGACCCTCCAACTGGTCTTTGTATTTCCCCTTGACTGCTCGTAGCTCTTTTTTCAGCTCCTTCCGCACAGTTTTAGCCCCCACAGTGTCTCGAGCCATGAAAGCCCTCTTTTTCCTGTTCAAGAGGGTTTTAATGTGCCCATTGATCCAGGGCTTGTTGTTTGGGAAGCATCGTACCTTTTTGGTAGATACAATAGGCGCGTTCACACCGGAGTACTTTTCCCCGTACTTTTCCCCGTACTTTTCCCGTTTAGTTCCGTTAGTACCCCTTATTTTGCGTTCACACCAAAAAGAGTACTTAGTGCCGGGAACTTTTACCCCCATTTTTAGTTGATAGGTGGTACTATCCTGGGGAGAAAAAAGTACCAATTTCTATTGGCTGGGTGAATTGCAAACCACGCCCCGTAAAACTCTGAAAAGTTTAGTAAAGCCGCCATTGTATTTGCTGGCATTAGCATTATTAGCATTAGCCCCGCCCACCAACGGAGAGAGAATAACTTATGGCAACACAAAAGAAAACATGGGAGCGTGGAGTGATGAGGAGGTGTCGGCATTCAGGCGATTTACTCGGCCTGCCAGTAAACCCAAAGCAGAAGAAGAAGTGACGTCAGCGGCTTCATTTGCGTAATCTTCCTTCAGGGAACATATTCCGGTGTGAACGCGATCTGTACTTAGTTCCATGGGGGTACCAAGTGTCGGCACTAAGTACGGCAAAGTACTTGGTGTACTTGGTGCTATTGCTCTCCTCACAGAAACTGAGGAGAAAGTCCATTTATGTCCTCACCGTCAACCCTCTGAAACATGTCCCTGTCTGTTGACCTGTAGCACTCCCTCAACTTCATCTGACCACTGCTGTACAGTCCTGGTGGTAGCTGGCTGTCTCCTGACAAGAGGCTTATATTTGGGAACAAGCCTGCCCTAATTCAGAGTGATGATGTTCATCCAACCATGCAAACTGAAGCGATGTGGTTCTCTGACAGAAATCTGAATCAGAATTATTTTATTAGTCCCACAGCAGAGATGTACTGTGTTACAGCAAAAAGAGGCAGCGCAGGTAAAAAAAGGCAAGCTATGATACAGAAAAACACTGCCTTATTAAATATAGAGAAGAAAAGCACACATATGTGACCTGCTCTATCGAAATCAGTCGCATTGACCCGAAGACACATTTTGAGTTGTATACACTGTTGGAAAGAGGATATTCCTAGCTCTCTAATGATATCAGGATTGTTTTTGTACTCCAAATATTAAGCGAAATATGTCACATTATATAATGACTGTCACCGAGTCATCATTTTGAGAAAAAGGCCTTTAAAGTTTCCTCTTCTCTGGAATCCATCGATCTGATTGATTATTAGCGGAGCAAATGATCAAAATACTACGGAGGGAAGATATTTTCGTTTGGAGGGGAAGCTCGCGAGTGTGTGTGTATACGTGCATGTGTGTTTGTGTAATTTTGCATTGTGTGTATTGTGTTTGTTTCCCGGGGAAAACCCTCACGAGAAACACCGGCTGTAGTTATGCCTGCTGTGACGTAAAGTTACTCCGTTCTCCGCTTGTAATTATGCCGAAGCTTCAAAGCTGTATTTATCATCTGAATTTGCCGAAACAAGTTTCATATTCTGAAAGCCAAGACTTTGTTTGTTTAAAATCAAACAAAACACCCGAACCCCGAAAAAATAGTTTTTTACGCAAATCCACGTTTATTTTGAAATGAGCCGTTGCGACTTCCGACTGATTTCGATAGAGCGGGTCACATTTGTACACATCCATGGCACAATGTATGTTTTCACATAAAGGTGATTTTTGCACAGTATTGCAAGAAAACAATTGATTCTCAAATTTGTGAGAATTATTTTGTAATTTGTGTACGACTTTATAATCTGATAGAATTTCAGTTTTGTTTTTCAGAATATTTTAATACTTTGTACTTCTAATTCACTACAATTCAGAGTTAATTGTCTACTTTTCCTCGCCTACGTTTATTTAATACCTTCAGTTACTTCACAGATGTGGATGAATGATGTGAAATCTAATCAAGTGTTGAATCAGACTTTAGTTCCACCTGGAGTAAATCCACCAGCTACCCTGCAGTCTACAAAGTCATTCAAACTAGCTGCACCTTTACCAACTTTGAGAACACTTCATGATCAATCATTATAAAACATATCATATATATTATTCTGAAATGGACCAATCTGCACAATGAATACTTTTACTGTCGCTACTTTCACTATATTTTGATGATCATACTTTTCTGCTTTTACTTGAGGAACATTTTGAATGCAGGACTTTTACTGTAACAGAGTATTCCTACACTGGTACTTCTACTTTTCTAGTACATCATGCGAGTACTCCTCCCACCTGTGCAGTCAGAGTGTGTACCTTTGCACCGATGCGATCAGCTCCTTCTCCCTCATGGCCTGCATCTCCATCCTGAAGTCCTTCTCCTTCATCAGAGCGTACCCTTCCTCCAGGCTCTGCTGTAACCGGGAGGCAGTTCTCTCCAGATGTTTGGCCTTCTGCTGGACCTCCTCCTGCTATACACACACACACACACACACACACACACACCACACACACACACACACACACACACAACACAACACACTACACACACACACACACACACACACACACACACCCACACACCACATCACACACACACACACACATCACACACACACACACACAAACATCACACACACACACACACACACACACACCACATCACACACACACACACACACACACACACACACACACACACACACACACACACACACACACCCACACACAACACACAACACACACACACTACACACACACACACACACACACACACACACACACACACACACACACACACCCACACACACACACACACACACACAACAAAGTAATGCCTTACTGTACTAAATGACTCTGCTGTACTGTAAGTAGTGACGAGTCACATTTATTTTGGACTAGTCTGTAACCTCACCTGAGATGCACCATAAAGCAAATGACAAATAACAATATAAAGTTAAACCTCATTTATGCCAGATCAGCACAAACCTCTGTTGGCTGGTTTTGATACAATTTTGAAGATTTAGGGGACTCTGGATCATCTTGATTGAAGAGATTGCTAATCTATTTGAAAATAATTTGTCTACAGTGGAGATACTCATTTTATTTTTGTGCTCTCTATATCCAATGGTCGCAACACTACTCATGGTAGTCAAAATCCGCCCACAGAGAGTACATATATGCTCACTTTCTGGTTAAAACTGGCCATTTCTTATCTGAAAAAGTCTGAAATGGACTCGCCATGCTCAATAACCCCAAAAACCAATCTGAAATTGTGCAAATCAACCAAGCCATTTGTCAACTATTGTCCAAAATTGCTATAATGCTAATTAACGCAACTTATGCCCAACCTATGCAAGTTAGCATTCGGCAGTTGCTATGTGCTGGGGACCCTTACTATACTTTTCTGACATAAAACTTTGGGGTACTCAACATTTCAGGGTTCACTATAATAATAATAATAATAATAATTTTAATTATACAGCACTTTTCAAAACAACTTCACAAAGTGCCAAACCCACCTAATGAAATATACAGCATTGCAACAATAGCAGCAGTAATACAAAACACATTTTGTGTGTGTGTGTGTGTGTGTGTGTGTGTGTGTGTGTGGTGTGTGTGTGTGTGTGTGTGTGTGTGTGTGTGTGTGTGTGTGTGTGTGTGTGTGTGTGTACCTGCTGGCTCTGGGTCTGCACCTCGTCCAGCGTCGGCAGGTCAGAGAGGTATTTCTCCAGAGTTTCGATGCGTTGCTGTTTCTCTCGGATCTGTTCGCTCTCTCGCTGACATTTCTTTTTTAGACTGCTGATGTAGCGATCCCTCGTCTTTATCTGAGAACAACAACACCCAGTATTACTAATACCCTGATTTCATATTATGTTGAATTGAACTACATTCATTTAACACATTTTTAGATACTGGCGAAAATAAAATAAATGGATACATAAATTAAGAGTAGAGATTAAGATGGACTTTTATGAATCCCTCGTGGGGAAATAGTTTCTCTGCATTTGACCCATCCTAGTGTTAGGAGCAGTGTGCTGCCATTTTGAACGGCGCCCGGGGAGCAGTGTGGGGAACGGTGCCTTGCTCAGGGACACCTCGGTAGCACTTGGTCTTGAACTGGTGACCTTCCAGTTGACAAGCCAACTCCCTATCGACTTCGCCACCACCGCCCCCAGAGTAATGAAATAGAAATGAAGTACATCAGCAATGGAAAAGGAAAAGTGTGCGATTGTTGGTTAACTTTGAAATAAATGACAGTCTATTGGCTTTTATGTGTGTCCAGAAACATTCCCAAGGAGTATCCTTGTCATTTTCATTGCCTTTCAATCTAGTGATCATAGCCTCGTAGGATGCTTTCTCAACCATGGCACTGACCCATTCCTTCATATCCGGAGGGTTGTCTATTTCCAATGTATCAAGATCATTCTTGAAGCTGTTATCAAACCAACCATAATAACAGAAAATGCACTTTTTGAAATATGTGGTATTTGAGATCTGTCCCCTAATCAGTGGCGACTCGTCAGTAGGGGCAGGTGGCACAGCCCCACCTACTGTCAGCAGAAATTAATTAATTATATATAATAAATATGTATGAAATAAATGTTAAAATGGATTTTAAGACCATGTTTAGTGGTCTCTACATTGCTGCTTCAGACTGCGTTCTTCTGATTAGTGTCTACAGATAGGCACTACAATATGCACACTGTAAAAATGAATGTGTACTGTGAAAACCACGCTATTCTTTTCAAGTGAGCCTTCAGCTTTGGTGAGTGAAAGTATATTTGATGTCATATTTGTTGTTATTTGTCTATTTTTTGACTACAGGCTATTACTCTGCTGGATCGTTGATATTGTAACCATGGTGAAAGGTGTCGGTGTTTTCCTTATATATACAGTTTATTAGTTTTCATGCTGAAGCATTACAGTTGTTGGTATTGTTAAGTATTGCTTTGTGATAGCGCCCTTTACTCCATGTAAAATGTCACAGGTTTGTCCGGTGCCTTGCTCAAGGGCACCACGGCAGGGCCCAGGAGGTGAACTGGGACCTCTCCACACTCCATATTTAGGTCTGGTCGGGGACTTGAACCGGCGACCCTACAGCTCACAGTCCAAGCCCCTACAGACTGAGCCACTGCCTTCTTTTTTTTTTGGGTGTGATAATATCAGTGTATTATCTTATAAGGTGCAGCTTCCCTTTTGCTTCCTTTACATATTTTCCACAGTCTGCCAAAACGTTCAGCCATTTCCCTTGATCAACGTCCATTTTCCGGTCTCTCTGCCATACCAGTTTGACATTGGACAATTCCCCACTTACAAAGTCGACGGTCAATTTATAAATGTGTAAAGCAGTGGCATTCCTTCATAAAGCCAGATATGTGACTCTCTGTATAGCAGGGGTGCCCACACTTTTTTTGGCTGGTGAGCTACTTTTGAAATGACCAGCTCACCGAGGTCTACCAACCAAAAATAAAATCCCAAATTGCAAGGGTTGCTGAATAACACGTTTTATTTATACATGGGATAACTACAATAGGGCTGCAACAAACGACTCATTTGATAATCGATTAATCTATCGATTAATGAAACGACTAATCGACTATTCGGACTATTACTGTATGCCTTGCACAATTTCTCAAACGCTCTTGTTTAGCCATCAACTTTTAGATTTAGCTTGAGGTTGTTTTAGGCATGTGGAAACAAACAATGAAGACAATAAAGATGAATACTTGATTCAAAAATACATATATTATTAAATTAAATTGTAAACAAATTGTGAACAAAATTAACATTGCTTTTTATTTAAATAAAATAAATAATATTTCACATCAAAAGAAACAACAATGTTTTAACAAATCGTATTAAATAATCTGATGACAGAACTGTGAACAGAATAGCTGAAACTTTAACAAACTAAATAACTCAGTTTCCTCTAATCATTAACCCATGTTTGTATCATTGAGTTAACTCCGTGTGTTGCTGCTAGCATACATAACACCTGACGTGGAAACGTTACTCGTGGATGGGGCTACAGAGCTGCTAGAAAGACGGTCGAACCCGGTGCATTCCTCCGTCTGAATGTGGAGCACTTTTGATAAATGTTTAGACACATTGCTCGTGTTACCGCCCTCACATGCTAAACTCTCTTGGCAAGGAGCATTGTCCACCTCAAGACGGGTAACATATAACCACACCTTGGAGCGCTTCTCTCCGCCATCCCAGCCGTGTGTTGCTGCTTGTAGCAGCTACGTGTGTGTAAACTGCCCCTCCCCCTCGCACACAGACGGGAGAGAGAGATCTCGTCTGGATTGGAAAGATCAAAAATACACCATAGACGCATTTGTTTGTCTTTTTGCATGTTAGAAACTAGTTGGCGACACTAACGGCCCGTCTACACTACAGGCATCGAAAAATGCTTTCAACGCTTCGCCCATTCACTTGAATGGGGTGACGTAGTTGATTTTGAATCTTCGCCGAACTGCATTGTGGGGAGCGGAGCGTGGCTTTGCAAGCATCGCGAGCATCAAAAGTTGAGCAATGTTCAACTTTTGAGGCTCGATGCTTGGCATCAGCCAATCAAATCCCGTTTATGCAAATCCCGCCAGTACAAGCGCTAGCCAATCAAACCGCGTGCAAGCTGGGAGAGCCAGACCGCAGTTCATTTCCTCATATTCCAAATGAGAAATCACCCGGTTCTTTACGACCAGAACTATTACCGGGATACAAACCGGAGGAACCAGGCATGGAGGGAGGTGGCAGAGACAGTGGGGGAAACTGGTAGGTTTTCGCCTGTTTGGGGATTTTATATCCAGTTTACTTCGTTTTAACATTGCTATTGCTTTGTATGTCGGGGGCGGGAGATTCATGTGATTGGTTGTTGGTCGCCTTGGGCGCGAGAAATCGCCAAGCCTCAGACACGCCCAGCTTCAAGATTTGTTGATGCCTGTAGTGTAGACGGGGCGTAAGACAATGTTTGTGTAGCAATAATACATGACCTTTCTCTTTCTCAACTCGCTACTCGGAGGGAAGTCGCTGTCATATGCCTTGTGAACACTCCGATAATGCCTCTCCACGTTACCTTTCTTTGGCAGAGCGACGCTTGCTTTACAAATAAGGCAAATAACCTTTGAATGTGACATCACAAAAAAATATTCTCCCTCCCATTCTGGGTGGAAGTGGTTTGTCTTTAGCTTCTTGCTCGGTCCCGCACTCATTTTGTTGTTTGTCTTTTGTTTGTCTCTTTAACTTATTTTGAGTTTTCCCGGCACTTGACTGATTTTGTATCGCTTTGCATTCTGGGTTAACAGATTGGAAAGCGATAGGTAGCTTTTTCTGTCAATCAAGTAAACTCCTGAATTAAGTGGCAGGGAGGCCAAGGGAGGAGGGATCAAAACCTGTTTTGTCTATTTTAACGGAGCAGCATTGCCCCCGCGGTCGACGTACTGGGCACCTCTGCTGTAGACCAATTGAACTGAGTTGTTACACAGTTCCTAATTCATAAATATTTCCCAAAATATAGTTTTTGTTCTGGAATGGTTGAATATGATCCTTCACATACCTTTTCCTCCAGTTTCCTGATGTCCTCTGTATATTTGTGGTTGACCTGCTTGAAGAACTCGCTCAGATGGAGAACCTCCAGCTCAGCCACCGCCAGCTTCCTCCCCAGCTCCTCATCGCAGTACAGCCTATCAGAGGGCTGTTTGCATGTTCTCAACGCTGATTCCTATTGGACAACAAAACTGGTGCTGTGACTGAATATTTGGATGTTTAATATCCCAATAGGAATGCTCATTGATCACAGAGAGGTGTTACCTTTTGGAAGGGGGGGTCATCCAGCCACACCCTCTGGCTGTGCAGCACCTGCTCTGCTCTCAGCTCGTTCTCTCTGATCCGGGCATGGAGCTGCAGGATCTGCTGCTTCTGTCTGAAACACAGAATAAAACAAACATTGTCATAAAATGTCTATTTAAGCTGAGACCAGACAGCAGACTATCCTTAAGCAAAGGAACGGTGAAAATGGCAAAATACTTTACGCACCATTCGGCCATCCACGGAAACAACCGATCACAACAGAAAACACGAGGATCATGTCAAAATAGTAAAAAAACGACTAAAGATTTAAAAGGTTTATTTTGTATACAACTTCAGGCAGTAAGTCTAAATGACGTACTGGTCACAGAGAGGTGTTACCTTTTGGAAGGGGGGGTCATCCAGCCACACCCTCCGCTCCCTCAACAAAAAGGACTTTTACATTGTTGTTGGATTTCTAAACATTGCAGCAAATAAGACCAGTGGCATTAATGAAATGTACGCGTTTTGTTCAGCAGCAGGGTTTCCCACACAGACTATACTTGGGCGGGCCGCCCAGGTATATTAACGGCCGCCCAAATATACTTGGGCGGCCATTAATTACGTTACATAACATTTAGGTTTTTTAAAATTATTTTTTTATTATTGTTATTATTTATTTTTTCGTCCGTGACCACGACGCCATCTGCGATCGATTAACTTGTGGACAATGATACCTCGCTCTACGCCTCCTGTACCCAGTCCCGGACTGGCCATCGGGAGGACCGGTGGGTTTCCCGATGGCCTGGCCTGTTAAGTGGCCTGCCTCACACAGGGTGACTGGCTGTCTACATGATGTGGTCTGCCTCACACAGGGTGACTGGCTGTCTACATGATGTGGTCTGCCTCACACAGGGTGACTGGCTGTCTACATGATGTGGTCTGCCTCACAGGGTGACTGGCTGTGTACATGATGTGGTCTGCCTCACACAGGGTGACTGGCTGTGTACATGATGTGGTCTGCCTCACAGGGTGACTGGCTGTGTACATGATGTGGTCTGCCTCACACAGGGTGACTGGCTGTGTACATGATGTGGTCTGCCTCACACAGGGTGACTGGCTGTCTACATGATGTGGTCTGCCTCACAGGGTGACTGGCTGTCTACATGATGTGGTCTGCCTCACACAGGGTGACTGGCTGTCTACATGATGTGGTCTGCCTCACACAGGGGGACTGGCTGTCTACATGATGTGACCTGCCTCACACAGGGGGACTGGCTGTGTACATGATGTGGTCTGCCTCACACAGGGTGACTGGCTGTCTACATGATGTGGTCTGCCTCACAGGGTGACTGGCTGTCTACATGATGTGGTCTGCCTCACACAGGGTGACTGGCTGTCTACATGATGTGGTCTGCCTCACACAGGGTGACTGGCTGTCTACATGATGTGGTCTGCCTCACACAGGGTGACTGGCTGTCTTACATGATGTGGTCTGCCTCACAGAGGGTGACTGGCTGTCTACATGATGTGGTCTGCCTCACACAGGGGGAACTGGCTGTCTACATGATGTGGTCTGCCTCACACAGGGTGACTGGCTGTCTACATGATGTGTCTGCCTCACACAGGGTGACTGGCTGTCTACATGATGTGGTCTGCCTCACACAGGGTGACTGGCTGTCTACATGATGTGGGTCTGGCCTCACACAGGGTGACTGGCTGTCTACATGATGTGGTCTGCCTCACAGAGGGTGACTGGCTGTCTACATGATGTGGTCTGCCTCACACAGGGTGACTGGCTGTCTACATGATGTGGTCTGCCTCACAGAGGGTGACTGGCTGTCTACATGATGTGGGTCTGCCTCACACAGGGTGACTGGCTGTCTACATGATGTGGTCTGCCTCACACAGGGGGACTGGCTGTCTACATGATGTGGTCTGCCTCACACAGGGGGACTGGCTGTCTACATGATGGGGTCTGCCTCACACAGGGTGACTGGCTGTCTACATGATGTGGTCTGCCTCACAGAGGGTGACTGGCTGTCTACATGATGTGGTCTGCCTCACACAGGGTGACTGGCTGTCCACATGATGTGGTCTGCCTCACACAGGGTGGACTCTGTCTACATGATGTGACCTGCCTCACACAGGGTGACTGGCTGTCTACATGATGTGACCTGCCTCACACAGGGTGACTGGCTGTCTACATGATGTGGTCTGCCTCACAGGGTGACTGGCTGTCTATATGATGTGGTCTGCCTCACACAGGGTGACTGGCTGTCTACATGATGTGACCTGCCTCACAGGGTGACTGGCTGTCTACATGATGTGGTCTGCCTCACACAGGGTGACTGGCTGTCTACATGATGTGGTCTGCCTCACACAGGGGGACTGGCTGTCTACATGATGTGGTCTGCCTCACACAGGGTGACTGGCTGTCTACATGATGTGGTCTGCCTCACACAGGGTGACTGGCTGTCTACATGATGTGGTCTGCCTCACACAGGGTGACTGGCTGTCTACATGATGTGGGTCTGCCTCACACAGGGTGACTGGCTGTCTACATGATGTGGTCTGCCTCACACAGGGTGACTGGCTGTCTACATGATGTGGTCTGCCTCACACAGGGTGACTGGCTGTCTACATGATGTGGTCTGCCTCACACAGGGTGACTGGCTGTCTACATGATGTGGTCTGCCTCAACAGGGTGACTGGCTGTCTACATGATGTGGGTCTGCCTCACACAGGGTGACTGGCTGTCTACATGATGTGACCTGCCTCACACAGGGTGACTGGCTGTCTACATGATGTGGTCTGCCTCACACAGGGTGACTGGCTGTCTACATGATGTGGTCTGCCTCACACAGGGTGACTGGCTGTCTACATGATGTGGTCTGCCTCACACAGGGTGACTGGCTGTCTACATGATGTGGTCTGCCTCACACAGGATGACTGGCTGTCTACATGATGTGGTCTGCCTCACACAGGGGATGGCTGGTCTACATGATGTGGTCTGCCTCACACAGGGTGACTGGCTGTCTACATGATGTGGTCTGCCTCACACAGGGTGACTGGCTGTCTACATGATGTGGTCTGCCTCACACAGGTGGATGGCTGTCTACATGATGTGGTCTGCCTCACACAGGGTGACTGGCTTCACATGATGTGGTCTGCCTCACACAGGGTGACTGGCTGTCACATGATGGGTCTGCCTCACACAGGGTGACTGGCTGTCTACATGATGTGGTCTGCCTCACACAGGGGACTGGCTGTCTACATGATGTGGTCTGCCTCACACAGGGTGACTGGCTGTCCACATGATGTGGTCTGCCTCACACAGGGTGACTGGCTGTCTACATGATGTGTGACCTGCCTCACACAGGGTGACTGGCTGTCTACATGATGTGGTCTGCCTCACACAGGGGGACTGGCTGTCTACATGATGTGGTCTGCCTCACACAGGGGGACTGGCTGTCTACATGATGTGGTCTGCCTCACACAGGGGGACTGGCTGTCTACATGATGTGGTCTGCCTCACACAGGGTGACTGGCTGTCACTGTAATGATGGGTCGGCCTCACACAGGGTGACTGGCTGT